AATAAGTCTACCACATCTTATAAATCTATCACTACTATAAATAAGTCTACCATCGCGCAAACCATTAATAAGTCTACCACTACTACTAATAAGTCTATCACTCACAAATAAATCTACCATAACTATAAATAAGTCTACCATCGCACGAACCATCAATAAATCTACCAATCACAACAATAAATCTACCACAACTATAAATAAGTCTACCACTACAACTCATAAGTCTACCGTAATTACTCAATAAGTCTACCACAACTTACAATAAGTCTACCACTACTTACAATAAGTCTACCACTACTANAAACAAGTCTACCACTGCCNGCANCGTAATAAGTNTANCGACCACTTTATAAATCTACCACTACTACAAATAAGTCTACCGATCCCAAAATTAANTCTACCAGTATTACGAATAAGTCTACCACATATTATAAATCTACCACAACTATAAATAAGTATACCATCGTGTACGCCGTAATAAGTCTACCAGACGTTTAATAAGTCTACCGTAACAGAATGGTAGACTTATTTAATTTTGGCGGAAAAAAATTTCGGCTTCATTAATGGCAGTTTCGTAAATACATTTTTTGTCTTCAAATGAAATAAGGTTAACACAGGAATTAAAAAATTTTCAAGGTCATTCTAATAATATTCAAAGATAGAGGTCATTCTAGTCCAAATCTTTGCTTGACAAGATCATTCTAGTAAACCACCCAAAAGGAAAAACGAAAAATACACTTCTGTGCTATATATCCATATATACTGTACATAAGTAATTATTTACGTCATATTATTATTATAAAGAACAAAAAGTGGTATAAAGCAATACTACTCTAAAGTGGTCTGGTTTTTAATATGGTATAAAGGAATACCACTCTATCTGGTTTATATTATGGCTTTGTTGATTGATACTTAAATCCTTTGTTTAAGAGCATTATTATTGATGATCTTTGGTGGGTATCATTATATATAAAATTATTAAAATTTGAGTAAAAGGAAGAAAGAAAGTGTTTTTGGTTGAAATAATGGAGTATATTGAAATATAAAATTAATAAAATTTGAGTAAAAAGAGGAGAGGAGTTGATACTTTTGAAGAGAGAGTGTCTTTATATCAATGGGTTGATACTTTTGGGGAGAGTTTAAACTTTAGTTGAGGTGTGTTTAAATATAAAATTAATAAAAGTTGAATAAAAGGTTGAAAGAAAAGATATAAAGTTAAGTAAAAAAAAGAAAGAAGGTGTGTTTTAATAATTTTATATCTAATGATACTCACAAAAGATCATCAATAATAATGGTCTAAAAGGTCATGTTTTTTACTTTGATATCAAATACTATCTTTTGCTTTAGTATGTGACAACGAGGCTTTAATTATAGTCAATCGATAAAACCACTGAATCAATAGGACCATTAATTCTCAGGTGTTATATTAATTAACAATAGATGACCTTTCAATTCCTTAGAATTATTCCCACGTGCGTGTAGACTGTAGAGTGTAGTCGCACGTGTGATACTTTGATTGTACTACAACCACCACATATTTATTCAATCAGTATTTTATATTCTGATAACAAAAAGGCAATACGCTTTTTCGAATAGAAAGCGCGTGGTGATACCAATGGGAGATTCTAGAAAGCAGGAAGATGTACGGACGATAGTAACGGTTTGGGGAGAATGTTTTTTTGTTTGTTTGCAAACCATTTACCAAATATATATTCCGAAAAAGAAAAAACGAAAAAGACATTTCTGTTATCCATTTATATTTACAATTATATTTTCCTTAAATCTAAACAACATAACAAATTAACCGCAATTCATTTTTGAAAACATTAATTTTGAAAGATTATGGATCATCTATGAATAGTAGTAGTATAGTATATAATATTCATACGTGCACTATAACAATCAGAGCAATATTCATACGTGCAGTATGTACGGACCCTTTCGCCAAGTATTTTTAAAGATACTTTGGTGTTTATATTGAAGTATTTCTTTTTGTTTTTATTATAAAAAAGTGGGTACGAAAAGAACATTCAGCTTGTATTATTTTTTTATAATAGAAATTAGAAAGCGAGTGCACTCACAGGTGTACAGATGGAAGATTCTGTAAAAAGCAGAGAGTGTACAAACGGTTTGCAGAATGTTTGTTTTGTATGTTTCCAAAACATTTAAAAATATATATGCAGAAAATAGGCAAACGAAAAAATCATTTATATCACAGCTAGATATAAGGCAAAGCAACCCGAGCGACGTAATGCATACACCCATTAAAGTCAATCCTTGTGTTAAAGACGATGTGGCCGTGATTTATGATTGCCTAGCTTTCA